GTGAGCAGAAATGAGTGAAGCTTTTGGCGCAGTCTCTTCGCCATTTCCATATTCGTCTTTTTTTGAGCCACTAGTTTTTGCTCCAGCGGCCTTGATAGGCTTAGGGTGTGCACAGCAACCGGGCGCTCACATGACAACCCTGGCCCGGGCTGGAGCTGACCATACACGAAAAAAGGTGTGAGCTGGTGGTGTCTAACCTGACATACTCTTGTTGTTGACAGTTCCAGAAACCGTTCTCTCACCTCCCACGCGTCTTCTGGCTGGTAGACAACTGCTCCCAGCGATCTGCTCCGCCACGCTTTCCACAATCGAAATCCACGCCAAAAACGGCCAAGAATTCGTCCTCAGAGCTGCTCTCTCAGTGCCAAACGTCGCTTTCTGACTTCTCACGCTTTCCACAATATCTCTCTACTTCCACCACAACGATTGACAAAGCCAGAAGCCGGTCTCTCACCTACCACGGGTCTTCTGGCTGGTAGCCACCTGCTCCCACCGATCTCCTTCGCCACGCTTTCCACAATCTAATTCCACCCCAAAAACGACTGAAAAGTCGTCCTCACAGCTAGAGCGAAAATGTTGCAAGCGTGCACATGACCTGGCTACTTGCAGCTCCGGCGCGACGATATCCGTGCGGTGTCCATGGTTAAGTTGCGTCCTCGCTGCCATTGCACGCAGCCGGATGCGGCAGAGAAAACCAGGAGCTCACTGCCAGAGTTCTCTGATGCGCCCCCCCATCGGCTGGGGTCGGCGGATACAATGGAATCCTGCTTCTCTGGCAAGACCGTTCAAGTAGAAAATATTGGAGTTCAGAGTGCCCAAAAAGCATCAAACACGCATCAACAAAGGACCTCTTGCACCATGTATTTTCTTCTAATTGAAACCTTGCTTGAAAAACCACCAGCATTGCACCTTTTATTGGACATATTCAAAACATTTCTTCTAAAATCGAATACCGGATTATATATATCTCAAACTTTGGTCTTTTCCCCCACTCTCAAGTTGACGTTTGACTCGACTCCACCAACACCACACTGCATATTTTACATGCTTCTATTCTCCTCGCGCTGTCCTACCTTGCGTGTATCCATCTTCTCAAGTTATCTATAGGGCGGTAGAGGCCCTAGTCTCATTCACATGCGCTCACAGCCCACTCAGCTCGGAAGTGCCACAGGGTGAGGCCACCCTCGGAAATTAGGAGGTGCTCTTTTTTGAGGTATGGCGTTGGCCCATGGCAAAAGATTACGCTCGCAGGTTAGACATAGCTCAAGCCGCTTCTTTGATGATAGGATGTGAGGACTTTATTCAGGTGAAGATCCCTGGAGTCAACAGGTTCACTTGGACTTGGGGTCCAGGGTTACCCAGATGTACGTACAAGGGGTATTTACTCATATTTTTTTTCCCTCAGGCTTTCCATGTTCGTGTGAGGGTCAATAACCCTGCGGCGGCTGGCGTTCGAGCTCCAATGGATTGATGGATTCATGAAACCTGTCCCAGTTCTCCTACATACAGCAATGAATTGGCATTTGCAAAGACCAAGGATCACGTACAATCACTTATCAAACAGCAGGTGAACACATACAGGTTCATCGTGAGACTTGCTATTTTGGTCACACTTGTCGTTACCTAAAGACCACCGTGTTCGACCATGGCGGAAAAGGAGGAAAACGAAGAAGACCTTGATTTTGATGATGACTTCGATGATGAGGAGGATTTGGGATGGTCATTCAACTATTTCTTGGTTTGCATCCTGCTGCCTGCGTTCAATGGCTTCATCAATGGCTATTCGTGGTCTGGCCTTTCTCTTCATTATGTAGAGATGGGTTGGCCCTTGACAAACGTTGGCTGGCCGTGCATGATTGGCTTTGCCTTGCGCCTGGTTTTTCAGCAAGTCCAGATGCGAGCAGGCTGGGCCAATGGGTGGACCGGACTAACTTGTATAATCAATGAGTAGCTCGCAATTGGATGTTTGAGTTACTGACAGTGTTTCACGATCCTTTGTCTCAGGTCTGCTATTTGGTGAGGCTTTCAGGGACAAGGGTTCACGGAACCACAAAGACCTCGATGTAGGAAGTCCCTTTCAGAAATCTAGTCGTTGATATGGGGCATCCTCTCTTGTAAGAGTGAATCTGCTGGCCGTTTTGTGATATTTAGTAGCGCGCAGCGCACAGAGGCTTTTGGGTCTCGGTGCCTTTGGCAATCGTGCACTTGGGCACAGCGATTGTGGGCACCATCTACACTACGGAGGACGGTTTGCTAACTGAGCGGGTGGGGGATGTTTCGTGGGAAGGGCTTTCAATGGTGGGGGAACTATGTGCAAGGGGCTTTCTCGGCCCCTTTTGCTGATCTCGATTTGATGATTGCACTTGGAGGAGTGGGCCGTTGCGCTGGAGATTGCAGTGATGCAGGGGGTGGACCCTAGTATTACTGTCGAAGGCAGGACTGTTTGGATTTGAATAAAATGATCCGATGAATTGAAAGTTAAACCTTGGAACATGCTCAGCATGCTGCCAGAACACCACTGCTCATATATTATCATGTAGGCTGAAACGCACCATTTTCTCGACTTTCCAAGAGCTACAGTAGGTGACATGAACGCACGCACTCCCCTTCCAGTGATTCACTGGAGTATGTGCGGTCACATTGGCGTGAATGGAAATCAGTCTGGCTCAAGCCCCTTTCAGTTGATCTTTAGCAGGATGTAGGCCGGCATTCACGCCTCTTCATTCAAAGTCTATCGGACTTCCGCTTCACATTCCAAAAGCAAACCACTCCACTGGAGGTCAGCTCAAAAGAATTATGGAAGCCGCCGACATTGGGAAAACGCATTTCCATTGAAGCTCAATTCTCAAGGGTGGTCTTCCTTTGTCAAGACCAATTGTGCCAAAGAACTCCTCGTGGATATAGCACCCAAAATCCATTCGGAGAAAGCCGGGGCAGAGTCGTCCTTTCTTTCTCTGCTTCAGACAGGGTCTTTTCAAGAAAGCAGTGTATCCAGTCCAGGGCTCCGGCATGTACTGCGCCGGCTTTCGACGCTTCGACAGGAGAATCGCATTCATCCAAGCACACCCGCAGCGCCGTGTGTCCATTCGTTCTCAGGAAGGATGTGCAGGTTCCTCGTCTGGAAGAGCTTCTTCCTGGGAGTGCAGTTTGTTTTCACCATTTGGGTGACACTACCCCGGGACGAGACAATCTCCAAAGTGGACTCTCAGCCTCCTTCTTCTGGACGCTTCTTTTGCACCTGGAACAGCTCACGTCCACTGCCTATCCATCGTCCAGAGCCTGTTGAGGCACCTGTCAAACAGGTTCTCCATGGTTTCATCAGGCTCTGGATCTCGCGTCCAAGTTCCGTTGCAGGTGTAATCGTCGAGGAAAGGAATCGCTGACGTGTGCACATCAGCTACAACATCTGGAGCGAGGCTTGTGATATACTCCTTGAGCACCATCACCATCCCCTCTATGTTGATGAGGTCGATCCCTTTTCAAAGCCCCTTTTTCGAAGGTTTACCTCTGTTCAGCCTTCCTGTTCGTCCTCTGGGGTCGGAGTCGAGGAAGCGGGTTCCCAACATGTCGCTGCTCTTGATCACCGGTCACATCCTGAAAGGTGAGTAGCTTTTTCTCTTCCGCCCGATGTTGAACTGGTCTTGTTGATGTGCTTCACGAGCCCGAGGAGCCCCTATGGCCTGAGAGGGCATTTTTTCAAAAGTTCCTCAAGCACTGGCCCATGTTGACACCCATACACACGCCCCATCGCAGATCAGCTGTCCAAGAAGACCTTCTCGAAGTGGACTTGGTGTAGACCCTGCTGACGCCAACGCTCTCCACGTTTTTTAGAAAAGAAAAAAACAGAAGTAGGTCCTCCTGCTTCCCCTAATATTGCCTTGTTCCTCACCGGCCTCGCCCTCTCTGACGACCATGGATTCTGAGGTATTTGAGGCATTGCCATACCTTCTTGACTTTCATCTGCTTGTGAGGGTGGAGTCACCTCTATGGGAACCTTTGCGCCACCCACCGGCCGGGGACCAACAGAACTTCCTGTTCAGCGGACTTTCTAGAACACGTTTCCTTTTGTGCTCATAACCCATGTGCGCCATTTAGGTTTTCCAAGGGCTACAGTAGATGACGAGACCGCACGCGATTATGTACTTGCGTCCCCTGTGGCATTGTGCAGGCATCGCATTCGATGTCTTTGGGCTGTCCGAAGAGCTGGCGCGGCAAGCGTCCTCCACAGTGCTGGCGGTCTTTACCATTGCGGTTGCCAGCGCGGTGACCATCGGAGGTATCATCTATGATGGTTTCGGGTGGAAAGGCATGTCGGTCTTCCACGTGATCTGTCAGTCGGGGATGTTGCTCCTATTTGCAACCCAACCGGTGGTGTGGCGGTCCTTCAGGGAGTTCTTTTTCAAAGCGAGTTCCGAGGACGAAGAGGAGTCAGGGTAAGTTGTTGGGGTTGATGTGTTACGAAACAAATCCCACCAAAGCCAGCATTCACCCGTTGATCTGCAGGAAAGTGACATGGAGGCAGCCCTTCCAGTTGTTCCAACGGAGCCGTCTGGATCTACGAAAGATGATTTGCAGCTTGAGGACATCACCGAGCATGATCTGACACTGCCAGGAGCAGCGAAGGACGAGGCCCCAGTCCAATCTGTTGATCCAGGTGCAGATGACCAAAAAGCCACCTCCAAGAGAGAAACCCAGGCTTCATCGATAGGCAGGGAAACGACCACATCTGTCGTAGTGCAAGACAGAAAAACACAAGCCCTGCAACAAAACCGTGGCAGAAAGACTCAAGACTCACAGGGAAGCCGTGGCAGAAAGACTCAAGACTCACAGGGAAGCCGTGGCAGGAAGACTCAAGACTC